TTCATCATCGCTACTTTCATCTTCATTTGATCGATATTGGAATGATTTTAGATGCTGATTGGTTTTCTCATGCCTATGTTTATTTCTGGTTGATCGAGAGTTGACAGGTGCTTGACGCAGACAGGTTTCATCATCGCTACTTTCATTTTCAGTTGGTCGAGATTGGAATGATTTTAGAAACCGATTGGTTTTCTCATCATGATCTTCCTTTTTTGTCTGAGGATTCGAATGACTGTTCAGCATTTTTATGAAGAATATTTTGTTTCCATTGGTTGAAATCTTCTTCGGGATTACAACTTGCTAATGCTTTCTGAAATTCATTGGAAAATATATCAAACGGCTTAATAATGTCAATAAATTGTTGTTTCATTGATTGAGTTACTCTGATTTGTGCTTTTGTATTTTGTTCGATAATTTCAGCTGCTTTTCGATGAAATGTTTGTTCTTCATTTTTCAATGATTTGTTTTTGTCTTTGATTGATCTTGATATGTCATCTAACCTTTCATTTATGTTGTTTTGATGTGTTTGAAAAATGTTTTTTCTTAACGTATTACACCATGAACCAGTTCTTTGTTGTTTTATTTGATCTCGAAGTTTAACTTCTTGCTTTTTCAGATTAGTTATTTCATCGGATAGTCTATTAGCATTAGCTCGCATTTGTTGAATTTTATCTTTCAATAACTGATGGTTCTTTTCATTTGGTATTGAGTTTTGAACAGATTTTATCTTTTGAATAATATTATCGGTTTTCTTTTTAACAAGACCAATAGAAGAAACAACAATATCGAAAACTGCCCACAAATTTTCATATGGTGTTAACTTTTTTTTATTATCTGTGAAAAATGTATGCCATTCATTTTGCCATTCTTTTATGCCTTTCGAAGACTTCGATAAAATATTGATTAGTTTTTCGATCATTTTACGTTCAGCATTTTGAAGGCAAATATCTACATTGATTCATAAAGAATATTTTATTAAAAAAGAAACGTAAAATAATTATTTATAATTACTGTTTTCTTCTAGTGCGCATGCAGCTTCATAATTCATGATTTCCCCTTCATTAGATGATTTATTCGTAAATATTGAGAATTGTTTCTTCACTGAACTTGATCTCTCCATTATTTTCCTCTTATTTGTGACTGTCCAAAGTACTGCAATATTATATGACTGACGGATGTTTTTCAAAAGAAGGAACAGCATATATATATATATATAGGGTTCGTCATGAAAACAAAACCAATGTAAAACTCACATTGTGGTTTGATCAAATTTGAGAATTTCCAACACGAAAAACTGCGAAAATTGGATTAAAACAACATTGAAATGAAGAAAAAACAAAGTGGTTTTACCCACGTTAAGTCAATGATGAATCATGTTCGTAAATATGAAGTTTTTATTAGTTTTATCGCCCGCTTCAAGGTAATCTCACGTATTATAATCATAATATTCTTTATTTTAAGAAAAAACCCAATCTAATTGTTAAAAATTGTTGGAGAATCTCAGACGAATATTTGATCTGTCCGAGAGTGTGGGTGTGGGTGTGGGTGTGGGTGGGGGT